TAGCAAATTTAGCTCCTAGAGCTATATGAGCATATCTCTCCTAAATTAATCTGCATTCATGTTGCTTTCCTTCACTTCTGTTGGTATATTTACCTTTCAGATTGAAAATAAAGCACTCATTGAGTTCTGAACAGTGAAATGATCATTCTTATATTCCAGTTTTAAAACTTCTCTGTTCATTTGAAAACACAAGTAACATAATAAACGAAAATGCCAAGATATTCTTTTCCTCTTACTACTTGTTCCTTTTAATCTCTCTACTTTCTGTAGTTTTATTTAGGAGAGAGAGGGGTTTTCTTTATTTTGCATTACTGTCATAAACTTGATTGAGGACTCTGGAGACTTCATCAGAGACTTAAAATGCTAACTTAAGAGACTTCACAATTGTCCGGATTTAGTCACTGAAATGCCTCTTCTGAACTACATAGCTATGAATTTTGCTTTTGATTTACGATTGAAACAATATCCATTACTTTGGGGTTTCTTCAGTAACTCTTTCCCCAAACAGCACAAAGTAAAGATTTTATTTTTTTTTTAATTATATGCAACTTGTTATTTGGAGTTTTTTGATCCCAATTAATTCATTAAACTTGTTCATCTTTAAAATGAAAATATACTAAATTAATATTTAGTGGTTTTTTTTACTGTGTTTATCAATATTTATGCAAAATCATGATTTTTTTCCTTAATCCAAACTCTTCCCTAAACACATGATTTTAAAATTATTTTTATTCCTCCAGATGTATATCTTTTGATAGACTACATTAAGAAAAATCATCTTTTTTTTTAACTAATATCTATTTCAATTTTCTCTCTCAAACATAATTAAATGGAGAGCTAATGTTAGTCTATCCTTTGTCCTCTTATAAGTGGAACAACATAAATATATCAGTTTAGAATATTGTCACACATGCTGCAAATTTCATGACTTGTAAGGAGAGATAAAAAGCAATCACTTTTCACAAGCTTAATTTCCAAGTTGTTCTAAGTTGTCTCCCATTTTCCTGCTTGCTACCAATGGCTGCAATTTGGTGACCTAGTGTTATTCAGGTTACATGTATAAGAAAGCTTTCTGTACTGTGAGCAATCAGTTCAAATCCAGCACTAGAAAGAAGAGTGGGAAATCCAAAATCTACCCTGCTCCTCTTCTAGGGCTGTGCAAAGCGACAGCGCATCATTGAGGAGCCATCATTCTTGGAGTCCAAAAAGGAAAAAGGTATTTAAATAGTCTCATATAGTTTATTCTTTAGGCTCTCTCTCAAGGAAGGTGGGTCTTTGTGTAATTGTTGCTATCATCTTGAGTTTGCTAGTGATTCCCTTTGTCCGTGTCAGTGTTTGAGGACTAGCTGCTCTCCGCAGGCAGGTGAGCCAGAAGCTGGACCAGCAGTGGCCAGGGGACTAGTTCTGAAGACCCCAAACACAAGGAGAAAATTTGGGAAAATAGGTCCTTTGACAGTCCTAAGGATGAGATCAGCAAGGTGATGAAATGGAGTCTATTCCAGGCAGGGTCTCCAGCCCTGGGAATGGTGCCAGAGAAAGGGCAGGAGACAAGGGCAGATCCAAGGGGTACCTCCACATGACCCCTCACTCGGGGTGTGAGGCCAAGGCTCATCCAGTAGGCAGGGCCAGAGGCAGGGTTGGAGACCTGACAGCTTTCAGCTGGGCTGAAATATTGAAATTTGCTGAAGAGTTTGTCTCATCAGCAAGGCCATTAATTGGAAACATGGGTGGGTGTTTATTCCCTGAGGGATACTCTCAGTAACCAGCTGCCAGCTGGCTTTGTGCTGCTGATTACCACCCTGGAGACCAGCTAACTCCAGCTAACTTTCCACCCACTTTGCAGTCTGTGTTTCAGCCCATATATCACCAATCTGGATATAGGAGCACAGTGGGCGAGTCCTGGATAAAGTCACAGAGAAGAGCTTTCCGTGCCACCTCCGCCGACACAGCCCTGTCAGTACAGAGGGCAAACTCTTTATGACAGAAACTGCCTCAAGATTGCAAAACAGCTTAATTATTTATTTGGTCTGACCATCCTTTCACTAGGAGCTGGATCAGGGCTTTGGCCAAGAAAACACTTGTCTTGTGTTACCTCTCCTGTAAACTTCTTTTTCTTGTAACATAGTGGTGTTTTTCCTTCATACCAGTCACCTGCCTTACAGAAAATACTTGTATTATACACTTAATATGCTGCATAAATAATATCAGGGTTGCCTTCTCCAGGTTTTTCAGGTCATCAGCTTTCAGTTATGGTCACTAATTTACTGAGGTTATTGTCTTGAATATTCTCTCCAAGAACCAGTAATAACATTCACTTACTTCTCTTTTTTGTCTAAAATGCAGGAAAACAATGTTATGACTATTTTCATACACAGTTCACTACTTATAAAAATATTACTTTTATTCTAGTTTTAGTTTCTTCTTCCCTGGTTAATTAACCTCAGGATATTATATGATTTCTACTTCCTCTTTTCATGACTGAAAATAATATCAAGGAAAAAAAGGCTGAGGAAGGAGCACTTTACTTGCATGAGAAAATGTCAGACCACAGTTTTGTGCAGGAAACCTTCTGTCTGAGGTTCTGCAAATCAAGTGATAACACTAATATCCATAAAACAGTCATGCTGCAAATGATGTACTCGTGACAGAATTCCAGGTTTGCACATTTCTAATTCAAATAACCACACTATAATACTGCAAGCTCATTAAGTGGTTCAAACAAGTTGACATACTACCCAGATTTTGCAACCGTTTAAAAATTTTTATGCTTGTGTCTCAAATGGACCAGTTTCAGTTCATTTCCCTTGCCTTCCCATCCCTTCCTTTCTCCAGATGGTTGATTTTGTTTATCTGCTACTGGATCCTTGTGATGTGTACATAACATGCAGTCTTGTGACATGTTCTAATGAAGTCTAAAGGGTGGAACAGCCATGACAGCTACCTCCTAGGATCACCCAAAGAACTAACATGAAGTTTTGAATCAGAAAAGGTCTCTTTTATCAATTATATTTTGATGTCCCAGCAGTCATATGAAACACAGAGAATCCCAAAAGACTCAAAACTGCAGAAACAGAGTGAAGAAAGCAATTTTGAGAATTTAATTGCCTAGATGATGGTAGAGGATGTTGCATTTTGAAAGAAGAAATGCTTTAAATATTTTTCTTATGTTACTTCTTTTTTCTGATTCTTTTATGTGGGTGAAGGTTAACTTTTTCTTTAATTCTTACCTGAATTAAAGCCAAACATTTTGACCCAAGGTCACAAAGGCCATCTACTCAGATGTCTTTTCAGCTTACCTTCAGTTTCAAGTGTTTTGGCCTGGAGGACAAAATATGAGTCTAATTAAGAAATTCTGTTTGGCAATTGTTTCTTTCATAGTTAGATTGGAAAATAAATTAAATTTATTACCTTTGTTATTTTCTCATTTACTTCAGCAGTGCCTCAATCACTCTTCTAAGCTTAGGTCCAATCACTTTTCAAGCCTTATCTGAGCAACTAATATTGATATTTTTGGTAATCATTTAGATATTCTACATACTACTAAAATCCAAATCTAATTTTAATAGTACTTCCATGAAGGTGACAAAGAGTTAACATGAAATAAGATTAAATTAATATTATTTGCTCTTTAATAGTCAGTAAAATGTAAATCTGAATCTGAGATTGTTCCAGCTTTCTTTCCATAATATATATTTGCATTCATATAATAAACCTTGTTTAAATATCAGTTTCTAGTCACAGTTTTAAAGACTACGGAGCTAAAAACTTACAAGAAAGTAAATTATAAGCTTAGGGACCTGGGGATTTTGGTGCCATTTTAGCAGTCCCAGAGACTGAGAGTAGGTGGATTGAGTATGATTTCAACTTTATCTGATTATTAAAGAATTATTTGCTGGTACGGCAGATACTTTTTCTTCCTCTTTAGTAAACTAATGTTCTTTGAGGCGTTTCTAAATTCACCTTCAGCTAACAAAAATACATCCACTGTGTTGCGTCTTACTAAAACTTACACTAGACTCCCTGCTGTATCTAGTTCTATGAGTTAATAAAAAAGGGGGAAATCATAACATTTTAAGGTTAAATTAAAAAAAAAATAAAAACAAAGAAAGGTATTTTAGAATATCCAAAACAACCAAAATAAGCCATTTTTATTCAAAAAGCATTTTCACGAAGTGACATCTTACATCCAGAAAGAAAATTTTCCAACTGAAATAGCTCCAAATCAGGATTCAATGAGAAGTTTACATTCACTGTTAATAGCCTGAGCCCAATTTTTTTAAAATCGGCTTATTCTATTTGATTGTATAGGATAATACATTTACATTAAAGTGGTATTTGCATGCTTATGCTATTTTCATCTATGTATTTTATCATGTTTTTATTGCTTTTGTATAAAATCATGTAGTTAACCAATTAGTAATCCTTGCCAATATTATTGTGACTCACAACAACAATGTGAATCAGCAGCTCTGACTGTTTCTTGAAAGGGCATCCAGCCAGGCCAAAGACCTACATCCCTGGTTGTACAGATAAGTAAAACTTGAGTTGGATTAACCTTTGACTATTTCCCACAGATTGTTGTTTTCCCACAGATTGTTATTTTCCCCTCATCTTTCCTTTCTTTGCAGCTAGGAGAAATCTGTATCAAAATGTCACCTATGGAAAACTGTCACTACAAAATCACAAGCTGGTTTTCCAAATATTTTCTACATTTTGTTGTTTGACAACTGTCATGCTAAGTAAAACTTAGAGTTCTTTCAATCAATGTTTTTTCAACAGAGGGATATTCTAGATATTTCAGAAAAATAATCAACCCCCATATATTAAGTTTCATCATGTTATTTATTATTAGTGAGATACTGGTTTGAGCCCCAAAGCATGTTTTAATATTTCTTTCAGAATATATTTTTAGCAATAACATTAGTAATTCCGGAATTTTTACTCTATGTGTAAATGTGCAATTTCTTTCTACCTCTCACTATTATTTTTTTTTATTTCAGTGCTTCCTTGGGCAATAAGTCATGCAGACCAATTACTGGTATCTTGAGAATGTATTCACATTTATTGAATTTTGAATATGCTACCTGCTAATTTCATGGTGTAATTCTCTGGGGGTGTTTTTTCTTGCAGCTCAGGATGAACAGTAATTCCCAAGAGAAACTCTTTATAGCATGATGTATCTTCTAGTTTTGCACAAATAATTTAAGCTAATTAATATAGTCCTCAAGTACTACTTAAATTAAATTTGTTTGAACCTTTCCCTCTCCTTTTCAGTTTGCTGAACTGACTTGGAGACGAAAGTCAGACAAAAGTTGCAAAATATGTGGTAGGTTATTTTGTACAGACAGGCTGCTGCAAGATTTTCTAGTGCTGGAAAGATAAAAATCAGAGATTCTTAATAAAAAATCCCAAATCGATGGATCTCTGTTTAAAAACTAGGCTTGATCCAGACCATTGTAAGAGTAAACAAAGTATTTTTATTTCACTAAGTTTCAAAGAAACCAGAATGGACCCCTTGTGAAAGCTGCCCTTTATAATTTGCAGCAGCATGATCATAGGCAACCCCTGTTACTACTCACTTTCTCTTGACTTTGTTTTCACAACCAAAGATAGAGTCCTACATGCCCTTGCCAAATAGATCACTTAGAGATTAGATAATTTTGTGAACTAAAGACGCTTTTGTTCACCATTCTGGCTGACTGATGAGTTGTTTGTCCTATATTTTATGACAACATTTAAAAATACACCTGTAGTACAATCGATGTTCCTAAGGAGCATTTTAAGAAGTTAGTAGATAGAAAGTACCATATGTGCAAACCACTGCAGTGAGTTAAGAAGATTCTTATTGAAGATTCAGTTGAGTCTTTTGAACTGAAAAAAATATTTGTGGGGTTTGTTCTGAAACTTACTAAATTGCTTTCATTATATATCTGCAGCTAAAACAGATGTCTTTTGATATTGTGCTATTCATCTGTTATTAATTATCTACTTAGACATATGAACAAACCATTTGAAAACTACAAGCATTAGCAAGCTGAACTCTTCTGTATGGGATACACTCAAAATTTTCCTCTAAACTAAAATGTCCCTCATTAAAGGAAAATATTTAGGTATTGAGACAATATCCGCTGTATTCATAAGCCTATAGTTGAACTTAATAACTAACTTATTTTCTAATGGAAATCTATGTGTGTGTTGCTTGCATATATTGATGTTGCTAACTTGTCTTTCATGGAGAAATTAATTGTCTGCTCTAACAAGCAGGAAAATCATATATATAACATTCTATATATACAGCAAGACAGACCTCAACCTGGGTTCTTTTACCTCAGGTGGGTTCTTAGACATTGGATTAGATATGCTACGTCAATAAATCATCTCTACAACATGCAGAGTAAATTTGTAAAATATTTTGGGTGCCTTGCAGTGCAATTTAACAAGCCCAATAGGCATTTGAATTCATGGCTCTTTCACTTCTTTGAAATTGCTGAAGATCATCAATAAAACTTCTGAAATGCCCATATACTAATTGAGGGGAAAAGAGGGATGGAAAAAGAGAAAAGCATCTCTACTATGGCTCCAGCCCAGGAAAAGAAAATCATACTGCTGAAAATTTTCTCCAAAGAACAAAAATGAGACAAAAACCCACCCCTCTTCAGAAGAGGAGTAGTGTCCCTCTATACTGGGTTTGACTGTTAAATTTGGGTTAAATTTCTTCATAGTAGCTCATGAGGTGCTATGTTTTGGGTTTGTGACCAAACCTGTGTTGATAACATAGGGCTGTTTTAGCTCTTGCTGAGCAGTGCTTGCACGGTGCCGAGGTCTTTTCTGTTCCATCAGTGAGCAGGCTGCAGTGCTCAAGATTTGGAAGTGAACACAGCTGTGAGAGCTGACCCCAGCTGACCCAAGGAATATCCCATATTACATGACACTCTCTCAGGAGAGAAGCTGATGGAAGGAGGTGGAAGGGAAGGTGGAATTTCGAAGTTATGCCCAAGTCACCATTAACTATCAGGCCCTGCTTTCCTGGATGTGGCTGAACATTAGCCTGCCAATGGGAAAAAGGGAGTAAACTCCATGTTTTGCTTTGCTTCTGTGTGGGGCTTTTGCTTTACCTACTTTATCTCAACTCAAGGGTTTCCTCACTTTTTCCTCCTTCCATTTCTCTCCCAGGTCCTGCTGTGAAGCTGGGTGGGACTGAAGTGGCTCAACACAGCACTCTTGGGAACAGCACCTTAGACATGCTGTAATATGCATTCAGTACAGAAGGTATGCTGTCAGTAATTGCTTTTCAGATTGTCACTTCTGATTCCTTAACTGTAGGTCCCTGCTCCCTAAAAACAAACAACTTTCTTTGTCTGAAAACCCCTTCTTCAGAGATAATCCTTAAAATATATTTTGATATGGAAGAAGAGGTGTAAAGTTGGTGAAATAGGTGATACCTTTAAATCATGCAGGCCTGCACAATTAAGCAAAATGTGTATGAGAGAATATTGGGGGTGCATAATATTTTTGCAAATAAGAGAGATTTAAGTTGGTGGGTTGATGCATATCTTTTTAATGATAGAGAATTATTTTAGTTAAAGAGACCCCTTTTAATTCTTCCTGCTTGCTCACTAAGCCATTGTCCAACGCCACTGATTATCATAACAAAACATCAGAGTCAATTATGAGCATTAAAAAAACTGGTACACAAAACCCACTAAATTCAGTTTTGCGGCCTCTAGGTCTCAAAGTACTTTTATAGTTTTTCTTATTTTTTTTAAATCACCACTACTTGCAATAAAGACAACCCAACCAACCAAACACAGGCCTTTCAAAAGTTGGATTTCTAAGGAAGAAAAACTTAATATTTCATATCACTGTAAGAAAATATAGAAGTATGCCCATACAGAATTAGACCAAAGGTCTGCCTTTCTCTGACACCAGATTTAAGAACTTTGTACATTTTAAGACCAGGGTCACCTGCAGTGGTCATTCTCCAAACTATTTCCTTTTCTTTAAAGACTTGCATTTCAGGTGATGCTTTTGCATTTCGTAGTCTTGATAGATTTATTCTATGAATTTGAACAGTTGCATATTTAACCCATGTAAGATTTTAGCCTCAAAGCATCCCATGGTAAAGACTTTGAAATGTTGTTTGCACAGTGTGTAAAAAGTTCTCTCTTTCTGACTGTTTGGAGCTGTCATTCCCAAGGTTGGATGGCAAATTCACAATAATTGGAAATGCAACACTTGTGAAAACAAGACTGGTGAATAATGTGAAGTGGTGCCGCAGTTTCCTGTGGCAGGTGATATCAGATAAGATTATTAAATGGCACAATTGCTCAGATCTTGGCAATATGAAGATGAAGGAAAAGGGCCCCTGTGCCACTTTGTGTGGCTGAAGCTACTGGGGAAAATCTTCTGGCTCACCAGAAAGATCAGATGAACTTGTGGTGAGGGGTTTGCAGAGGCACAAGGTGAAAAGACTGATAAGGAGAGAGAGCAAAAGCAATTCATACGCCTCACATGTCATTGAAGCTATTACAAACCAGCAGTAACGCACAAAGGTCTGTTGATAAATTAACACTTCTTGTTATGAGGACAAAATATATGAATGATGCAATTGAAGTTCTTTATAACTTAGGAGGGCAGGCTTGCAGAAGTAAAATACCAAAGCAATTAAGTATTGTGTCTAGATGAAACAAAATACTAGGAGCTGGACATGGAATAAAGTTAAAGCATAAAGGGAGCATAGGCTGAATATAGAAAAAAAAAAAAAGAAGAAAAATAAAAGATACAATAATAGTGGAATCAGGTGTATCCATTTATGATAGAATTTTGAATATTTCTTCCCACATCCATCCAGAAGGGATCACAAATCTGAGGGTTTCTTGTGTCCCATAATTGATAAATCCATCTTTTTAGTGTCATTTTTTCAGCAATCTGTGTATGCAACCCATGTATGCAAAAGCAGATAATGTGAATTTATTGTTTGATATGCCAATAAGGATTTGGGAACACTGAGGTGAAGTTCTTGATGTTTTTCACAACTAGACTATACAACATTTCACAACATTTGGTTAATTGGAGTACTCCTTTACAATCAGATGTATAACAAAGTGTTCAGGAGATGCTACTCCTTGCTTGCAAACACTCAAGTTTTCATATCTATCACTACAACTGCATTTTTGGTGCAAAAAGCATTTGTACTACTACCTCAAACAATGTGTTTTCTTAACTTCATGGCTACAGCTTTCCTCTCAGTGCAGCTCCTGCTTCAAACTAGGAAACCAAAGAACACTCCTTATGAACCAGTTGAAGATAACACCCTGCCTCTCCCTCAAATTCTCCTATTTGGTCATGAAAAGGGGCCCCAGTTTCTTCCTTTTGTTGTGTATTCTGCTGCCATCCTGTGGCTATTTCTTTTCATTCACATCAAGATTTAATAAAATACTTGGGTTTGCACCTCATGAAAATTGTAGGTTCCACACTCTGTCCTCAAATTTCTACAAAACTTGTCTCTAAGAAGTACACTCCTTAATTTCTTATTTATTGATAAAGTAGGCATCTGGTTGACACTTGCAGAATAAGCATTTCAGAAGTTTGCAGCTGGATTGTGAAAGTAGTTGGGTAAAAATACACATAATTTTCCACAATAAAGAGTAACATTGAGTGCACATATACTTTTACAGTTCTGTGAAAAAAAAACCCAATTTTTCTCACATGATACTTTCCAGTGAGATGACATAAAGTGAATTATTCATAATGGCATCTTGAGTTATCTCAGACAAATTCTACTTTTTTCAATATACTGGGTTTGATTTTGATGTGCAATCATTGAATCATTGAAGAAACCTTCTGGTTTTTATTTTTTCCCTTGAATTATGCATTTAGAGATAGGAAATATTTTTTTTTTTCTCTGAGCCTTTTTCTTCTGGTTTTAGTCTTGAAGGTCTTATGAAGATGATTTGATGGTGGATATGGTGTGGTTCTAGGTTGACAATTGGACTTGATAATCTTAAATGCATTTTCAAAACTATTTGATTATATTATTTTAGGGTGTAATCAGGGTAGAAAACTCTTCCTAGCCTCTAAGATAGCTCATGTAGCTTGTAACATCATCAGTCTTCCTGAATTTCAAAAAATTACTTTAGTAGCCTAATGGGTTTTGGTTTTATTTGGAATCTCCTTTTTGGGGAAAGAATAGGCTTCTAATCTGACCTGTCTAAACTGGAAATAAAAGAACATAATGAATTGCAGTGGACAAGTTCTCTAGCTGTTGACAAAGTCTGCCTGATAATGTTTCTCAACATACACATATGTATGTGAAGCACAGGCAGCCTTGTATTATTTAGAGTGTGCAGACACCATCCCATCGAGTCTGCTTTGTCTATGATGCCTTTTACACACACACTTTGTGTCTCTTTGATGGTGTCTGACTACTGCCCCCTCATCAGGTCAGACACATACTCTGAAAATCTGTGTGGAGGATCAGTATGTGGCTTCTTTGTGGATAATAGGCTTCCATATCTTAGTTCTGTTTAAAGGGGAAGAGGTTATAGGGGGAATTTTCTAACCTTCTGTAGTTGTCAGATTTTTGCCTTAAGTACCAAATGAAATTTTGTGTTACCAAACTCTTCCTCAAACATGAACATATTATGTAACATATCAGTTTTAAAGAGATAAATGATAGTGGTTTAAGCAAATATTAAGATACATAGGGCTGCTAAGAACAATACTCCATGCTAACAGAATTAATATAAATTCCATCCTCCTCTTAACACACTTGGGTATGCTGTAGTGCCTAAGTTTTAATTTATCAATATGCGTAAATGCAAAAATTTCTGCTGTTCTTTCTGCCTAGGAGCATTGCCATCTTGCTGAAGTTCAGCACTGCAGCACCTACTTCATGTCTAACATATTTGGGAATTACAAATTGCCTGACACTCCCCAAGAGCATTGAATGCAGTACAGATCTGGAGGGGAAAGGATGCTTTTCATAATGTGGTAAGCAGAACTTTATAATCCTTACACGTTTGCAGTTCCTAAATTAAGATATAATTGCCTGTTGCTTTACTGTGTCTGACATCTCTGAAGTGGCAAGCAAAAGGAGTGTTGCAGGTTAAAGCTGAGATGCCTATTTCTGCTGTTGCAATGCAACTGTTTTCCTCCCATTTGCTTATAAATCTGCCACATTCCTTAAAGGCATAAATTTTCCACATTTTATGTTAGTTTAGGTGGGAAATTATTTTAAAACTTTAATTTCACACACTTGTCTATCTATATATATGTGCATGAACCACATGAAGAGAATTTGTCCATTTATCATCAATCAGAAACTGCAAGGCAACAGCTGAACTAAATTTTGACAAACTAGCATCTTTGTAGTATTAGCTTGGAATCTAAAGTTGAGTATGAGGGAAAAAAGTGAAGCTGGCAGAATATTAAAATCATATGCATATACAGCAGGATGTTTTCTCATCACACTTGGGAACAACAGCATAACACTCACTGACACAGGAGAATTTTATGGTTTTTTCTGCTCATTTTTAAGTGACTGCAAGTACTGGCTGCTTTGGGAAACATTTTAACTTCTAAGATCTTAGCTTCAGAGCAGAGGGTAAACAGAAGCAAGAAAAGGGAAAAAACTTGCTCCCAAAATTTGAATTGTAGGCTTCCAATACACACTTAGTAATACTTCTAAAATGTAGAGATACTGTGATACTGATACTTTAATACTGTGATACTGAACTTTGTCTGACACAATGGCCTGTTTTTAGCAAAAGAAGACAGATTTGTGTGGACAGCAAATTTTTTTAGAGTCTGGTGAAGCATTTTGTTTGGTTACCTGTTTATTTTTTCCCAGCAAAGCCAAACTCCTGTGTTCTGTCCAGAATAGGTATATGCTAGACAAGCATGATACGGGAAGCCAACATGTCAGACACTGGCTATAAAAGCTGTGGACAGCATTAGAAGGGGTAGGAAATGAAGCTGATGGGTTTTTAAACAACTTTTTTTTGGAAAAGGTATCTTCAATCATTAATAGTTTTCATCCAGTTTTGTTTTGCTTGCATGTGCATAATTTGGAGTGATGAATTTTTTGATAGTTGGAATCCACCAGTCAAAGAAAATGAAATGTTAGCATCCTGAAAATCACTGAAATTTGATTAATATGGAAGGATGAGAAGCAATCAACTTGCTTGACATGGTACTTATTGAAAAGAAAGCTAAAAAGCCCTGTAATTTTGAGTTGTGTAAACTATTTAACTTTCTACTAAGAATTAATTGAAGGAGCAATAGGAAGATGGGATTTTTCCAGTCAGCAGCTCTTTATAATCACTATGTCTTGATAGGTCACACACAGATTCCGTAACAACTTAACTGTGGTATATTAATTTTCTAGCAAGATACTGACTCAGGCAACATAATATTATGATGTTTTTCTGCCTTGATCATAACTCCTCGGTCAAATTTCTTTCCAGAATATTGCATACAACCATAAACTTTTCTCTCTACTGATAATGTGAAGATGAAGGCTAGTGTGAAGTTGAAAATGTACTCATTATTATAGCTGCAGTTAAACAGGAAAGAATTCAAAATTCTTTTAAACAAAATAAGAATGGAAATTGAACTGGGAAGTATTGCTTTACTTCATCACAGTAATTCTTATTACAATAGTAAAGATATTCAAAAGCTGTTTAGAAAAAGCATTTGTCTAAGTTTAAAATCTGTATGTAAAAAGCTGTGTACAGCATGGGGAAGGCAGTATGCCTAATCCTCAGAAACTCATCTTTGTCTTATCAACTGATACATTGAATTACAGGGTAGGAAACTGAGGGAATTTCTCCAATGAAGAATAGTTTTGCAGAGGAAAACATGAGTTTTATTATTTACTGTGGAGACAAGTTCAAATATTAATTGAGCTAGACTGCAATACTGCTTTACCATAGCCCCTGATGTCTTCATTCGAAGATAAGGAAAATGAAGCAGAGGGAGCCAGGCTGCTTCACTTTAGCAAGACTTGCAAAATCTCAGAATTATGTCATATCAGTCCAAGGTCCCACCACAGCCAGTGCATAACCAGTCTGTGACTGCTGGAGCATGGAAAGCCATCCAGCTGGCCCCCAGCTGTACAGCTTGGAGCAGGATGCATCGCTCCACATGTTCCTTTCTGTTGTGTGAGCAGGAGCAGAATGCATTTGCCATTTTAACCTCTCTCATACTGACACCTATGCACTTTTAACAAAGGATGAGCTGTAGCATCAGGCTACTCAGTAATTCTGTGGCCCGCTGAGTACTGAGTTTTTGAGTTTTGAATTGTAGAGTTCTCAATACAAAACTATCCTTGCCTGCTGTATCCAGTTTGGGTTTAGAGAATTCTTTTTCCACAAAAAACGAAAATTTGTTTTTTCTTCTCCATATGTACCAGAAAAAAAGTTATTATGAAAACATTATGACCAAATATCCGTAGGTCCTGGAACTGCAAATGTGAATTTTAAAAAGAGTTTCACGAGATTATTAGGCCTATTCCTGTCTGCATGGGCAAAAAAGCCAGCCCTGTGTCTCTGAGACAGCACATTATCTCTGCAAACACTTGTGAAACTCTCTTCTTTGTGGAGTATACTGGAAACCCACGAGAAAAACCTGTCCTCATTGCCCTCTTTGCAGAGTTCTCAAAGTTCACATTACAGATGATGAGCCACCACTTATGAATTAGCATATTATATAAATCATGCTTGATTATAAGGGTATATTCCCACTCCTTCACCAGCACAATGAAAATAGAACAGGAAAAAAGAACTGTATGACTGTTTTATTTACGTAAAGACATGTCATTAAAATTCTTTTGATTTTCCTGAAGGCAATTTTTTACATTAGTAGGAATACAGATCTGGCCTAATTTCCTATCTGCAAATTAATGAGGACTGGAGATATTTAAATTACAGTCAGTGAACTCAGATATTTAGAAAAGGGAATATCTCTGGTGAAAGAGATGTGTGAGGAAAAATACTGCAATGAAGATGGAAAAGAGAACTTTTTGTGGATTGGATGTATGACAATTTTCAGTATAGAGTGTTTTTTTATTTGGGGAAGGAATTTAAAATAGGTATTGCAAACATAAATGGATGCTTGTCAAAGCTGGGCAGAGTTGGATTTTTTCCCTGAAAACAAGAAGCTATTCTGCTTTTTCTCTTCTTTTGCCTTCATTGCTGTATGTGCTTTTCAGTCAGGGTTATATATCCACCCTAATCTGAGCTGTCACAGACATCAAATCATATGTTTTAATTCCTCAGTAGGGTACTGGACCTGGTATGGCAGAGCTGCACAGAGAAAAGCAAGCTGGTTCCTAGAGGCAGTGTGCAGGTCACAGTAGGAGGTGGTGGAGTTGCAGATCTTGTACAACAGCTGGATCAAGTGCAGCCTCATGCAGATATAGGCCCCCTCCCTAATAACATCAATGTCTACAAATTCTCTGTGCTCCATGGGGAATCATGGAACACACATGCTGCACAAGCACACTTGTGTATTGTGCTTACTCTATCCTTTTTCCTTACAACACATTCTTGAACTTACAGATTTTTTCATTTATAAAAATCAAAATTATTTAATTTTTTCTTTTTCTTCTTTACAATTGTTATAAAGCCTACAAATATTTGAAGTTAGAAATCTCTGACTTTTTTATGTTACAATTTTCAATTTGATAAGGAGAGCTTAAATATTTGACAAAATAAAAAGTGCTGTAATATTATTTTGATTATTTCTTTCATTAGTAATCATATTAATTTAAAGTCTAAATATATCTACTGAGTATGTGTATTTCCTTGGCATTTTTGTTTCTAGTGTTTCAGAGCAGTACCTTGTTGACAGCCCACTTCACACAGTTCAATCATCTACCATTACATTCATCGTGCAAAATAATTGCTACATTCTTGGAAACTGGCTGCAAAGAAGTTGATTGATCAAGTGAAACTTGAGGACTGGATTGGAATGCAGAGAGATTATGACAGAATAAGAAAGTGGATAAAATAATTTTTAATTGTGAACGCAAAAAATAAATGTTTTTGAAATTTTTCCAACTCTGAGTTTCTGCCCAAGGGCCTTGCTGGTGGCTGATCCCATTTCCTGCAGTACTCTGGCCTGTCAGGCAGTGCCCCAGACAGCCACTTACTGCATGGTGGCAAAGCTGGAAAATTTAAACTGGAAACCTAAAACCCCTGTGGACTGAAAGATGCAAGTCTCTTGCAAGACACAAAAGATCCTTCCAGCTCATCTCTTCTAAGGATTTAACAGAAGTTCTGCTGTGGGCAGGCAAGGCACGTGTAGCCACTTACTGGCCATACAGACTGAGTTAGTGCCTTCTGCCAAAGAAAGGTCCCCCAAAGAAGTGTTAGCTACAATCTCGGTGGAGATATGATGCTGTTTCAGTGCACAGGTCTGGAGTAGATGTTCTCTTGAGGTTTAAATTTTTCTTATGAAATACACTGTGTGTGTCTGTACCGATTTTTTTTTTTTTTTCATCTGACCGCTAAAATATTGTAGTACAGCATCTCCATATTGGCAGGTGAGAAGAGGTTTTTATTGAATCATACAAGAAAGCTGACAGCTTTCCTCAGTCTTTAGGAGTGAACTCTCACTAATTAACTGTGGCCTTTGCTGCTGCTGACACGTGGCAGAAAGGTTCTGTGTACATTTTAAGATCAGCGGAAAGAATTGTTGGCAAAGATTTTCTGACCGATACATGCTCAACTTGCCAATTTCAACCTACCAACATCCAAAGAAAATGTAAATAAACCCTTGAAAAGATCATCTCTTTTCAAGCTTGGTCTTAATCCAGATGGTTCTCATAATCCTCCCCATGTGTCAAACTGGTGTTACTATCTTTCCTGGTATCCTCTATTAGAGAAATAATTTGAAAACTACTGAAGTAATAATACTGTATAGTTCCTGCATGCAACAAATATTAATGTAAGGTTAAAAGTAATTAAATAAATTAAATCTGTATTGTT